ACTTGTTAGAGGGCCGGCCCGCTGGGGCCTCCTGAGGAGCAAGCGGCCACCCGGTTAGAGATACAGTAGAAAGGCATCATGGCACACTCACAAACCAGCATGTAAAACAACTTGTCTCACCACTAAGGACAATGACAGAGGTTTGGATACACGTCTTCTGCAAAGGATGTGTAAGCCGCACTGCCGCGCCAAGGCACCTCTTATAGTGCGGTCCTAACTCTAAACTATGAGAGTCTCCATCTTGGAGCACATGGGGGCAGAAGATATCAAATTGGGTGCAGGCCTGTCAGGAGGACGCCCCACCTCCTTAAAGGTACAGAGACACACAAGGGATCCCGCACATCCCATTGGCAGCTGAGAAACCCCATGCGTCGCTGCACCAAATCGGTAAAGCAAAACAAACGACAAACGCACTCAACAATTTGTTACCAGTTATACAGTAAGGTGCACACGAAATGGGCTTTGAACAGTGGTACAGTAGAAAGGCATCATGGCACACTCACAAACCAGCATGTAAAACAACTTGTCTCACCACTAAGGACAATGACAGAGGTTTGGATACACACCCGGTTAGAGAGCCGCATCTGTAGCGGTGCAGGTGGCAGAGAGGCGGTGGAGGGAGGGTGTCTCCCACACTGTATGCAGCTTCTGACAGCGTGGGAGACGGGAGGCTGCAGGGGAGGATCAAGGGATCCCAGAGATGTCGCTGTGTGGGCGGCGTTGGACTACATGTCGCAACCGCTGAGAGTCTGTTCCGTTTTGTTGAGCCGGTGACCAGCTTTACAGTAGAAGCGAATCTGGTGGCTCAGCTGCCACCAGATCGCTTCTATGATTCGGTAACCTGGCCGCCCCCACTCGACACCCCCGCCTTGTTTCCCAGGCTCCGTTGCCCTCCTACAGGCCCGGAACTGGCTTGCCGGTTGTAGGCGGGAACCTGGGGAGGAGAGAAGCGAACATCTGTGCTCCAATCCCCTCCCCATACTATGGGACCGGGAGCGACGCGTATTGCATCACTTCCAGTCCCATAGCTGTCAGCGCCGGCCTCTTGAAGCGATCTGCACTTCAATCGCTTATTTAGAGTGTAAAGGTGATGCCAGGGGTCTTTTGGACACCCAGCATCACCTTAAAGAGTACATGTCACTGCCAATATGCTATCACATAAAAAAAAACAGTTTTAAAAATAAGATTAAATAAATTAAATGTAAAAATAAAAATGTTTTAAGTCACCCGCGAGCATGCACGTCATCACGTAAGCCGCGCACGCCGAAGTGAGATCAATAATTCTAAGGCCAATATTTACACGTATCTCTAAACTGATGACTGATGACCTTGAGCGGCTTTTAAAGCGCTGTGTATGGACTTTTTGGGGTACTGCATTCTGTCGCAGTTTCACGGATGTACACAATTTTTAACCTGGGCATGTTAGGTATCTATTTACTCGTTGTAACTTCATCTTTTAGATGTTAAAAAAATGGTTTTATATAGTATTTTGGAGCATTAAATGTAACTTAAGTGCATTTTTCACTAAATCTTGTGGTTTGATAATAAGTTGTGCTAATGTTGTGAAAAATAAAAATTTGCAACTGCCACTATTGTATTCTACAGGATCTTGGCTTTCAGAAAATATATAATGTTTGGGAGGTTTTAAGTAATTTGCAGGCCTAAAATGTGGATTATAACATGTAAACAAAAAATGAAAAAAGGGCCTTTGTCCTTATGGGGTCTTCAGGAAACCTGAAGCCATAGGGGGAATTGATCAAAACTGACTTTAATGCTAACCATGTGTTAAAGTCCCAACAGAGTAAATGCATTTTAACAAAATATAATCTCAGATCTCAGACAGCTCCAGAGCTTCGGCTCACTTGTTTGTCAGTAGACTCAGCAAGTGAACCGAAGAATCGATTCATGAATCGGTTCATTGGAATGAACCGTTCAAAATGAACCGATTCATTTCAAAGATCCGAACTTCCCATCTCCACTACTGACTAATGTTCCATCAGAAAGGTTCTCTCTAAGCACCAAAGGGTGGGAGGAGCTGGAACCTATATGCAGTGGTGTATTCTGGTTTGGGGCTGCCCTAGGCAAGATGAAACTCCGCCCCCTTCACTAAATTTGCTCCACCCCTTCCTGTTTTTGACTTTTTGCATAACCTGTCAGCTGCTGGATCCACTATTAGCATAGCAGGAAAGCTGGGGTCTCAGGTGGGCTCTGCAGGGTCTCAGGGGGCTTTGAAGCATCTGTGGTGGGCTCTGCAAAGTCTTGGGTGGGCTGTGAAGGATCTCTGGTGGGCACTGCAGGCTTCAGAGCCCACCACAGATCCTGCACAGCCCCCCTTAAACCCAGCAGAGCCCACCATAGACCCCACAGAGCCCACCATAGATCCTGCAAAGCCCCCTGAGACCCTGCATAGCCCACCATAGACCCTGCAGAGTCCACTACAGATCCTGCAAAGGCCCCCTGAGACCCTGCGGAGCCCACCATAGACCCCACCACAGATCCTGCAGAGCCCTCCTGAGACTTTCAGATGGGCTGTGCAGAATCTATGCTGGGCTCTGCAGGGCCCCTTTAATAGCACAGTGTGATCCACTTACCTGCATCTGCCGCCAACGGCTGGACCTGCCCTCCTCCACTGCCCGTCTTGCACTTGCAGGTCCCAGCCTCCTTCGAGACCGACTGGCACTTCGGGACCGGCGTCCTTCGTCGCCCGACGGGGATCCAGACCGCCATCCTCTGTCGCCCGGCAGGGATCTGGACCCGCCCCCTGATGGGGATCTGGACCCGCCCCCTCCTGTTGCTCCTCCTAAGCTCATCCTCCTCTCCTCGCCTCCACCTTGCCTCCTTGTCCCACTAGATTAGGCAGCCGAACTCTGTGCAGCCCGGCTTGCCTGACTGTTTTGGGGATGGCAATATTGCCGCCCCCCTCTAAAGACCCTAACACATCAGGAAACCTGAAGCCATAGGGGGAATTGATCAAAACTGACTTTAATGCTAACCATGTGTTAAAGTCCCAACAGAGTAAATGCATTTTAACAAAATATAAGTTGCCAAGGCTTTACTATTCAGGTGATATAAGAAAATCTGCACTAAATGATGGTCTTCTAATGAAGCTCAAAGTAATAACACTTAAGGAAACCGGAGCAGACAAAATATGGAGCAGTTGCCTAGAGTAACCAATCAGCTTCTCTCTTCAGTTTTTTAAGTTTTGAAGATGAAAGATAGAAGCTAATTGATTGTCATGAACAACAGCCCCGGATTTTGTCTTCTCCAGTTTCCTTAATTGTTATTACCTTGAACTTCATTAGTAGACTATAATTTAGGGCAAATGTTCTCATATCACCTGAATAGTCACTTATATTTTGTTGAAATGCATTTACTCTTTGGGGAGTTTAACACATGGTTACAAATGGTCACAGAAGTGGGAACAAATCTAGTACTACCATGTATATGTGGTAAGCGCTTCAAGCTGCGTGGATCCCTGTGTCATTTCATCTCAGTCACTGCGCTATGTGGCAGAGGAGGAGGAAGAAGGAGATAGGTGAGGGGTATGGGGAGTGGCCTGGAGAATGAGGAGTTCCTGTTAGTAAAAGTTTGAGCCCTGAAGCAGCACAGTGCAGCTTTATATTGCAGTGACACTTGTGACCCCAATTAAAACCACTGCACCAATGTCCACTTCAACCACAGGCACTGCACCAACATGCACTTTTGTACCTGCTGCCACTGAGCCAATGCAAACTATTGCACAATGTTTCTTTTTCCATCTCCACTCGCACTGCATTGATGTGCCCTTTTGCATCCACCACTTCACTGACATGACCTTTGCTCCTCCTGCCATGATACCGAGGAGCCATAGCGCACCTGCTGTCACCACCTGCTGATGCAAACTTCAGCACCTGCAACCATTGAACACAATGTTCCCTACTGCAACTGCAGGTCCTGCACTGAAGTGCCATTCTGCACATACTGCCTTTACACCTGCCAGCAATACACCAACGCGCCCCACTGCCACTGCAGCAGTGTGTCATTCCACACTTGCACACCACTGCACTTAAATGCATGTCTCTACCTGCTGCCACTACACCAACAAACACTTCTAAGTTCTTCAGTAATGCACCAATTCTCACATCTGTAACCACCACTGTGATCTACTTATCTGCATCTGCCGCCCGCTGCTGGACCTTCCCTGCTGGACCACCCAGCCTCCTCCACCACTCTTGCACTTGCAGGTCCCGGCCTCTTCCACGCCCGACTGGTGCTTCGGGACTGGCGTCCTCCGTCGCCCAACGGGGATCCGAACCCGCCCCCTGATGGGGATTCGGACCCGCCCCCTCCTGCTGCTTCACCTCCGCTCTTTGCCTCTACCTCTGCCTCCTTGTCTCGCTAGATTAGGCAGCCGAGGCTGCCAAACTCTGTGCAGTCCGGCTTGCCTGACTATTTTGGAGGTGGCATTTTTTACGACCCCCTCTAAAGTGTCGCCCAAGGCAGATATGCCCCTGCCTATATGCCCTGGGCGTGTCCAAGAGCACAGGGGATGACGGGAGTCCAGGGAATTGTGGGAGCCTAAAGGATTGTGGGAAACTGAGTTAAAGGGACTCACACCTGTCACTGGGGAAAGTAAAAGGGTACTCCACTACAGTTTCACGACAGCTAGAGGGCTTAAAAGAGAACTATGGGGTAAACTTTTTATCCCATTGTTCTCGTTAGGGTCACAGGAGGACATATAGTAACCTCCTCCTGTGAACCAAAGCTCAGTATATAGTGGGCTATTGCCAGCTATATACTGAGAACACCGCAGCCGGGACAGATCCCGACAATACTCTTGAGATCCACCCAGCTGGCTGATTCACAGCGGGCTCTTCCTATCTAGAGGCAGAGCCAGCTGTTGCCCGCCCCCTGCCCTGTCCGTTCCTTCAGTCAGCGTTGAAGTATAGGAAAGGGGAGGGGGAAAATCCCTGCGGGGAGATGATCGGGAGGTGAGCGAGCAGCGATATGTGTTTGCTCACTTCCCAATCTATAGATTCGAAATGTGACACCTCTAACTATGAGGATGAGTGTAGTTCTCCTTTAAGTGTGACTACCCCTGCTCTAAGGAATATTGCATGGGTCAGCCCAATGTTGTACAAGCCCTGGGTCAGTAGAGACCTGCAGTGTTAAATCTAGTGTAAAAACAATACTGATACCATAGTATTCAATCAGACATCAGCAGTTTAATTTTAGTCAGATTTCAGGAACCACATCATATCACTCACATTGCCGTTGAATATAGCTGAGTCTTGGTATATCTTATTTGAATGTATTACATATTAAGAATGACAACATTCCTACTCTGCATGAAAATAATAAGCTTGCATTTACATAGTTACATAGTATTTGAGGTTGAATAAAGACATTAGTCCATCAAGTCCAACCTATTAGGATCTCATTCTAGGAGTACCCGTACCCCTGTATATTACGGTCCCTTAAGAAATCGTCCAAAAGTTTCTTGAACAATTCCACATTATTTGCTGAAATCACCGCCTGTGGCAGTGAGTTCCAGACCCTAACTGATCTTACTGTGAAGAACCCCCTTCGCCCCTTGTGCTGGAATTTTTTTTCCACCAATTTTAGGTGATGGCCTCTAGTTTTTGTAACGGAGTTAATTTTAAACAGTTTATCGCTAATGTTGCTACCACCATTAAACATTTTGTACATGGAAATCATATCCCCCCTTAATCTCCTCACCTCTAATGTGAACATGTTTAAATTTAGTAGCCTCGTCTCGTAGCTCTGGTCCTCCATACCCCTAATTAGTTTGGTTGCCCTTCGCTGGACTTTTTCCAACTCAAGGACATCTTTTCTTAGTACTGGTGACCAGAACTAACCCACTGCTTTGTTTGCATTGAGCATTTTAAGTCTTTGTTGTATCCCGGTTTCTGTCAACCACTGGGGTATATTTTTAGTTATATATTTCATAATAACCACTAAAAATATACATCTTTTCAGGAGAGAAGATCATGAAGAGGATGGGGATGAAGAGGATGAGAATAATGAAGACCATTTAGAGAAAGAAGAGCTAAACAAAAGGCATCTGGGCGTTTTAAATAAAGTCACTGACTTAGCAGGTGGTCTGCTAGGTAGTTTAGGACTATAAGCATCATTCTGAAGGTCTACCAGCTTCATGAAATATAAAGTCAGCTGACTGATGCTAACAGAGCAATAAATAAATTGACTCCAATGCAACTAACATAAGCTGTTTTCCTTATTGTGTTTCTTATTCTTTCCTAGCAGCATGTACGCTGTGTCCATGTAATTCACATTTTACATAATTTAACCAGTTGAAGTCCGCGGTGTTAAACCCCCTTCCCATCCAGGCCATTTTTCAGTGCTGCAGTACTTTGACATTTTTCGGTCATGCAACGTTGTACTGAAATTAATTTTATACCATTTTTTGGTCACAGATAGAGCTTTCTTTTGGTGGTAAACAAAAATAATATATCCAGAAGCGCCAGAGGTTGTCGTATATAGTCTCTTAGACAGAGCTAATGTATTGGCATCTATGCAGGAGGCAGCCCCAATGCAGTCAGGGAGACTGAAGACACTGTAAGACAATAGTATTCAATCAGACATCAGCAGTTTAATTTTAGTCAGATTTATTTTTACATGCGTTTACATACATCAAATGTTTCCGGGGCACGCCCCCTTCATCAGGACATCAGATGTCCTGATGAATAATCCACCTAGGATGATGGTTAGTCTTGGTGTGGAGATAGGAATTACCTGGAGTAGGTTTAAAATGCGTCTTGGAAGTGACCATGCCTGTCTCATCTACCCCTAACTCGAAGTCTAAAAACACCAGATTCTTTTTATCTATAACAAAAGTAAAATCAAGTTTGAAGGGGTTGCCCAGCCCTCTTATTAAACCTAATAAGAGGGCTGGGAGACCGAGGTTACAAGTTGATCAAAAGACCCGATTCAAATGAGGCTAAACGTAGCACGCCCAGCATCCATTCAGCCACCTCCCATCTATGCCATCGAGCCCCATCCAATCAGGGGCTTTGTGTCCCTTCTTAACCCAAGTGGGGAGGAGACTGGAGTTATGCCTGATGAAGGGGGCGTGCCCCGGAAACGCGTCAACACTCCGATCTGCACATAGGACGCATCTGACAGACTGCTACTGCTACTATTCCGGTTCGGTCTCTACACTGTTCTTAATGCTTGTGAATTTCCACTTTTGTGAGTACCCATCTACTTACCCATCCTCATTTTAATTGAAAAATAAAACTGATCTGCACTAGGAAAAGGCGCCCCTCTCTTGTTTTGTCTTACAGTTTATTTTGGTGGTATTTAATCACCACTGCGGGTTTTATTTTTTACTATATTAGGGAAAAATTACCAAAATGTTTCCTTAAAATAATATCTCCTTAATATCTTGCACCAGGGCCCTTTGTTCCTCTAGGACCCCTAATGTCACCTGCGGACCCCAAAAGAAGCTGATGAAGCAGAGACTGTTCAGGCAGGAATACAGCATGGATTATGATTGCTGCACACAGCATCAGTATGTTCAACGCATTTTTGTGTGTGAACATACACTGCCTACAGCATCCAATTCAGTGGTGGACCTACCGCCGGGGCCTCAGCCAGGGGTGGCCCAGCTCAGTCCTTGATGGTGGGGCTTGCTGGCCGCCGGATAGCATCGGATCGGTATTCAGCGGCTGGCGGGCCCCCCAGTCCCTGCGCCTGGAGAGTCGGATCATCCGTTCATCCTACACTCCCGGCACAGAGATGGGGGGCCCACCGGATACTGATCTCAGCATCCGACACTCCGACGCGCTGAAATGGGGTGGGGGAGGGGAAGCCAACAACACAGACTGATAACATTGGGCATGAACCAAAGAGGCAGGAACCCAGGAACGTTCCTCAGGACCATAGGTCGGGGCCGGCAGAAGACAAAGCAGTATTCAGAAAATGTAGCCAAGGGTCAAAACAGGTAGCAGACAAGCGAGAATCCGAAAACATTACATAGGCTGCCTGACAGAAACACATCAAACTGTAAAAAGTTGACTTTTCACCGAATTGGTCAGTACTAACCAGTAACTATTTCCTGTAGTCTTTCCAGCACAGTACATGAGATTAGCACTTTCCACCACCGAAAAAGGAAACACATCAAACTCTAAAAGTGGTCGAACTGGTCAGTAGAAAACAAGAACCAAAGAAAGTAATCCTAAGTAAACAAACAACAACAAAAACACATATCCCAAGGGCAGGAATCCTACTGTCCCCAGTCATCATATCCAGGGCAGCACCTGAGAGGATTGGCAAGGACTCTATTGATGACTCTTCCTGTGTTTCAGGTTTTTTTTTTATTATTATTGTATTATGAAGCATAACAAATTGCAACCACAACAAGGTACAGAAAGTCAGAAATCCATTTTTTTTAGATAAGGATATTTTTCTTCTGAAGGGAAAGCCTGCCTCTCCCACCCAGAGTCTCAGCAGAACCTTTCCGTTAGCAGGAGGAAACAAATACTGACCAGTTTGGCAAAGGAATTTCATTTTAAATAAGACACTGCCTGTTGAAAAGCTTCCTTCTGTGGTTTGTGATGCAACAGAATACACTCCAATGGTCTAAGGCTTTCATGGTGAACACACCAAGAGGGTTATTCATAGACATGTGCGATTCGTTTCGAATCGAAATTCGGACGAATTTTCGGAAATTCTGACATTCGGATGTATCCGAATTCCGAATTACAGATATAACGAATGCAAACGAATCCGAATTTCCCTTTCCGAAATTCGGTAGCGGTAGTTCGTTCGAACGTTCGTTTAGTTTTCATTTCTTATTTGTTTCGTTCGTTGAAGAAAAACTTTACCCCCTCAAATGTCACTTTGCTGCAAACGAACGAACGAATGCACGAAACGAATAAGAAACGAAAACGAAACGAACGTTCGAACGAACTACCGCTAACGAATTTCGTCCGAATCCGAATTCCGAATTGACTTTCACACCCGAATCCCGAAAAACGAAATAACACAAATCCGAATTTAAAACGAAACTAAACGAATTTTTTGGCAGTGCACATGTCTAGTTATTCACTCAGCTGCCTTTGGCCGAAGTGAACTGAGCCAAACACCGGTCGCCTATTCACTTTGGCTCTGTGCTGCTGATTTCCGATGTACATCGACATAGCCGATCTAACATCTGGATTGGCTGAGCTGAAGCTCCGGTAGTTCACTCACTGCAATTCGCTCCTATTCTCATAGGGGCCGAACGGCAGTGAGTGAATAGCCGAATGCCACCGAGCTGCATTTGGCTCAGCTATTCTGCTTGCTACCTTCGAGGTGCTCGTACTCGCCCAAATGCTCCGATGCCTAGCACGATACTTCCCGGTATTAGGAAGCCAAGCAGCGTGTAATAACTCACTGCCTGGCTTGATTCCTGATTGCTCGGGAAGCTGGCCAATCAGGAAGCAAGGCGCCGTGTAATGACATAGTGACGAGAAGCATGGGGACGGCTTCCCTGCTAATGCACGCCGCCTGGCTTCCCAGCTAATCAGGAAGCCAGGTGGCGAGTCATTACACGCCACCTGGCTTCCTTAATGGGACTTCTGGTATTGGTATTCTGTATCGGCGAGTACCAAAAAAATATATCGGTACTACATACCGAAATACCAGTACATCCCTAGTTGTGACATCCAGACAGATATGTCAGTTAGTAGATTAGTGACACGGAAGGACACTGTGGGGGTGAGTTGCGGAGTAGAAAGACTTGTAACAATGGTGATGTTTAACAGTGTAAGATGCCTAATGTACCCTCCTGCAGGGCTAAACAGCAACCATTTTTGTTTGGTTCATACTTTTTGAAAAATTAACCCATTTTATGACTAGCCGTTTGTACATGCTTTGCATTCTTGTGTCTTTTGGATGCCATGTTCTATGACAGATGTACTACCACCACTAGCAACTATGAATGGGCACATATTACAAAAAGCATTAGTTTTCTTTTTGCCTGGGCTGATAAAGCAAATGTCAGTAAGAGTAGATTAATTTAAAACACATTTCTGTTTCTTTGTATGTTTCAAAATTACATATGAAATAAAAAAAAAAAAAAGCTGCAATAATAAAAAAAAAGAATTTCAAGTAAACTTAGCTTGAAAGCCTTGGTTTCATTGTTCTGAAGGCAAAAAGATTGGACAGGAACAGGACAGTGTGCAGAGAGAAGATGAATTACTTTAGTAATATAAACTGCTACTTTGCAGGTCAAAAATGTACAAGCGGAGATTTTCCAAACACTATCAAACAGGATGCATGCTCACAAATATGCTGTGGAGTCTGTGGCAGACCAAGGACCATCTTGGCAACCTGAAGGTTCACACCGGTCAGTTAGGCGAGTTAGTGGAGGAAGTGCGCAGGGAAGCTGAGGAAAACCATGCTTGCCTGTGAAGAAGAGGGGTTTGTTTTTAAAGCCAGTTTAACTTCAATTACCCGAAAAGCACTTCCATTACCTGAGGGGAACACGCTTACCTGCTGTGGGTTCCGTAGCAGACCAAGGACCGCCTTAGTAAGCAATCAGTTTGGCGAGTAGGTAGGTAGATTCATTAGGTTTGTGTCTGTGGTTATGTAGCCTTCAGCCTCATGTATTAGGTAGGTTGGTAGGTTTGTTAGGTAAGCATATGCGGCAGTGCATCCTTCACCCTTATGTATCAGGTGGGTATGTAGGTAGGTTTGTTAGGTAGGCATCTGTGGCTGTGCGTTCTTCAGTGCCTGCACACATTCCAGCATATATATTTAGCCGCTGGCAGTGGGCACCAACTGATACTGCGCATGCGCTGGCCCAAAATGGCACGACTGGGACTTGTCACGCATGTGCAGGCAGCTTAATCAGTGCCCTTTTGGTCAAGCCCATGCACAGTGCAGCTGTGAAATGCTATAAACTGCAAGGCATATTGGGCAGTGGGAGGCTTTTCAGCTACGCTGATGCAGAGGGTAAAACGTACTGCAGAGGTGCCAATGCTTTTTGTGTCGGAAACAAAGTCGGGGATGCTCATTTAAGAGGTACAGTGACCTCTAAACATGGACTGTCTCTGGGAAAAGGGGACTCATGGAAACCTTTTTTTAGATACATTACAGGATAACCATAAACTGGGGATTTTAACTTACACATGCAAAAATATTTTGAGGCAAGGGTAATGTTGGGTGAAGATTATATTATACATTTAAAAACAATAACAAATAGTTAAAGTTACCTGAGATGTAAATTACTTACCCTTCACAGAACTATCAACAGGTAGTAAGAATCTCTAGGTTCCTGTATGTGAGGTCCCTTATCAGTGTAAGTGCATGAAATTTGCAGGTGTTTTGCGCATACTTTCTGGGTTAAGAGACTCCCACTCTCTGCCTCCTAAGCCCAGGGCCGGCCTTAGGCCTTTAGGCGCCCTGTGCGAGAAAGACTTAAGCCTCACCAACTGACCACTGAGGCTGCCCAACAGAGTAATGGACTAATCAATTGCTTGAGCAATCCAGAAAGTATGTGCAGATCAAAGCACCCAGGAATTCTGAGCCTATGGGTTGCCTAAATTAAAAACAATTGTCCAAACAGCCTGAGGTACCATTGGATAAGGTATTTATTATACACAGGTTCACTTTAAACATCAAACCTTCGTATTTTGACTCCAATTGTTAAATTAGTGATGTATCCCTTCATAAAGGTGGCCATACACTTTACAACCCTCGCAAGACTTTAGTCTTGCGAGGGTTGTAAAGTAATCTAAAAAACGTACGGTCTGCCCATCTTGGGGGGCGGGCTTCCGATGACTGCAATGAGGGGCGGGCTTCCGATGACTGCAAACGGGCAGTGCTCGGCAGTTGTCGAACAAGCAGGCCACTAATCGTACGATTCTCGGCGGGTTTTCCAGCCTGCTTGTTCGACGGAAGACGTGTGACCGTACAGTAGAAACGGTCGCACGCCTTCCATACACTTTGCGATTATCGTACGATCGCGGGACTTCACAATTTGACTTCACAAATTGTGATCTGCGCTTATGGAAAAAAAACCCTGTGTGTCTATTTGAGCTGCTGTGCTAAAAGATATAACTCCTTTCACATGTATGAATGACAAATTGCACTGCGCTACAAATAGGACTATCTAAGATAGTACACCTAAGTGTACAGTACAATCAGTTAAATAAATCAATTAACCATGAAATTTCAAAAATCAATCAGAGTGAACAGTTGAGTATATATCACCACAAAAATATTGTCCATGATACTGTGTGAAATATAAAATAATAATGTCCAATCACAATGTGCAAAGGACACACTCTTCAATCCTTCTTTGCCGTGTTTCCTCTAATTAGTATCAGTGTTATTCCACCCGCTGTGCGTGTAACATATATAAATCTGCACTCACCAGAAATGAATGACCTCTTTTTCAAGATGGTCAAACAGTGTATCATAAGGTATCCACCAATGTCCAACTCCAATCTCCCTCCAGATGGTCAAACAGTGTATCATAAGGTATCCACCAATGTCCAACTCCAATCTCCCTCCAGATGGTCAAACAGCATCTAGTAAGATATCACATGATTTCCAACTCCAATCTCCTCTGTTGTTAGGCTCTCACTATATTCACATCCTCATTCACTCCAAAAAACATTAAAACATAAAAAATTCCGTGTGCAGTATGTCTTTAAAAATCAGCACTTTATTACACCAAATAAAAACACTCACGTTTCATAGAAAATAATAATTTTAAACTAGAAACAGGACACCCGTCTCTTCAGGGCTCCAAGCTCTAATCCCCAAGTGTTATGAACTCAGCGTGCATCCGCGCGTTGACGCGTTTCGTCATACAAGACTTCTTCTGAACGGCGTCCACACTAAGTTCATGCAATCTGACATATTTCTAATAAAAGAGATGTGCTATTGCTATTATCAGCCACTAGATATCATCTGTATATACATTGTAGCTATCCTGAGCATTCCATAACAGTTCTTACTTAATACACATATATACATGTGGAGGCCCCACCTCACAACTTACAGGATTTAAAGAATCTGCTACTGAAAGCTTAGTGCCAGATTTCACAGCATACCTTCAGAGGTCAAGTGGACTTCCTCCGTGGGTCAGGGCGGCTGTTTTGATGGAAAAATGGGGACCAATGATGAAGCACTGAGATCTTGTGGAATGCAGAATTAAGTTTTACTTGCTTAGAAGGACATTACATCAGAATACAGCATTGTGAGGAAAGCATATAGATAGAAAAAAACTGCTTCCTGCATGCATATGGAGAGTAACATTGCACTACACTGGCAAATGACATATCAAAAGACATATCAAAGTATATGCTGTTGTATTTCCAGCAGGGGGAAAGCCTGGTTTCCAAGTACTGGAGTCAATGGGCCAATGTGTGAGGACCGTTTTATTATTGTGACCCAAAAGCGGAGGCATCCAAATCGGAAGGGCAGTAGCCAGAAGGGCTAACTGGTAAATCTCAGTTAGTAGATAATAGTACATTTTTGTTAATAAACTACATTAGTATAATTTTCCATCTGGAATCCTTTGCTGAAGACCACAACCTGGTTATAATATCCCATACCTCCTCACTGTCCCTCATTTGGAACCAAGTCCCTCTTTCCTCCTCAGTTTTCCCTCTCTTTGGTCTGATGTACAGATGTCTATGAAAATGTTGTAGTAGTGTTACTCTGGCCTAAAATCTTTATCTCATCTCTTAATTATATTGATTGCTATGTTGATAAGCCAGCGTAAAGGAAAAGTCATGGTGAAAACTAAAACACTTCTGGGTTTAACCAATCACTATTGACATATACATTCTTAACCATTTTAAGTGGGTGTACCGAGCGGCAGAGTGTGCCCCACCCCCAACTGCTGGCTCCCCCGAGCACCGCAGTCCCCCGTGCGAGCCCGGGAGCGGCATGGCAGGTCTCCCAGCATCAATTGGAAGGAGATCAGCAAGCTTCTAGGTCAGGGGTGCCCACAATTTTTGTGATAAGATCTACATTTCAAACGACAAGCTACATGAGATCTACCAACGAAAAAAAAAAAAAACCCTCCCTCGCTCTCTCTCTCTCTCCTGGCTGTCTTTCCTTGCTCATCCTCCTGGCTGTCTATCCTCGATCTCTCTCTCCTGGCTAGCATTCCTTTTTTTTTCTCCTGGCTGTCTCTCTTTGCTCTCTTCCCTGGCTGTCTCTCCTCTCTCTCTTTCCTGGCTCTCTCTCCTCTCTCTTTCCTAGCTGTCTCTCCTCTCTCTCTTTCCTGGCTGTCTCTCCTCTCTCTCTCCTGGCTGTCTCTCCTTGCTCTCTTCCCTGGCTGTCTCTCCTCTCTCTCTCTCCCCTGGCTGTCTCTCCTTGCTCTGTTCCCTGGCTGTCTCTCCTCTCTCGCTATCTTTCCTGGCTGTCTCTCCTCTCTCTCTCTCTCCCCTAGCTGTCTTTCATCTCTCTCCTGGCTCACCTTGCTGTATTTTGCAACAGCCTCTGTAAACTAATATTCTTTGATGTAATACATAGCAGCACTTCAACCACCAGTATCCACCAGAAAGGTGTCAGGGAGCTTGGCTCAGCAGACTCAGGCTAATAGGTAATCATGTGTGCACAGCTAAATAAATATACCAAAATGGAATAAAGGGGCCGCCATTCACACCCTTCATGATCTACCAGCATTGAGAGCTACTGGTAGATGATCTACCTAATGGGCACCCCTGTTCTAGGTGCTGAGCTCTTCTCTGATCACTGGCCCCGGAATTGATGTGTATTACATCACATCCGGTGTCACTGTGCACTGTCTCCGGTTCTTAGAGCCAGGAGAAGAGCTGGTGAAGCAGATCTCTGCTTCATCTGCTTCTTTGGGGTCCCTAGATTACATTAGGGATCTGAAAGACCCCTCATGTCTCCATAAAGAGGACCTGTCACATTATATTTGCTATTACATAGGGTGTTTATTAGCCCCCAATGATAGCAATACAGTTAAGTGTTAAAAAAAATCCAAAAAGCTAAAAAAAAAAATTATAGACCCCCCACGTACACGCACATAGAAGCACAAACATGCATTGGGTGAATCTATGTGAAAAAATGAAAATTGCGCCACACATGTTACATATCGCCGCAAATGGAGTGAGAGCAATAATTCTTGGGCCATCAATCACTGTTAACGCTAAACTGATGAGCAGTAAAAGCGTTTAAAACGTCACATATAGGAAATTTGTTGTATTGTAACGTTTTGCGATTTCATGTTTGGTGTCTATTTACCCGGCGTGACCCCATCTTTTATATTTTACCAACAAATTTTGTATTATATTCTGTTTCTGTGCACTAAATTTCATCTTAGTGTACTTTATCCTAAAAATACTGGTTTTATAAACATGTCCGCAAATACCATGCAACATAAAAAAATTGCAACTAGCATTTTTTTATTCTAAAGAGCCTCTGCTTTCAGAAAATATATAATTTTGGGGGGTTTTAGGCTGTTTTCCAGCCACAAATTCAGATTTTATGTGCGCAAATATTAGGAAATTGCTCCGGAGAGCAAGTGGTTAATGGTCCATATGACTGGGGTTGTGGCAGGGGCTTGCCTAAATACAGAGGGGGGAATTTATCGAAACAGGAGCAGACGGAATCTGCTTTTTTTTAATTTTCGTTCACACCTAGGCGTATTGCATATGCGCGTCTGTCGCGATTCGCGGTAAAAAAGTCGCGCGAGCGGCGCGCGTTTCCGAAGGCTACTTGGCTGTATCCCAATGGAAATGCGCAACAAAACGGCCCAAAGTAGTACCTGTACCTTTTCAGGCGTGGGCCATTTTGTAGCGCGTTAGGGACGGGCGGAAATATGCCAAGGTGGGAACGAGACCATTGAATACAATGGGATTTATATTTTTGAGCGTTTTGTAGAGCGTTCGTCGAGCGTAGAACGCGCTACAAAACGTTCAGGTGTGAACGAGGGCAAAGTGACACTAAACTCAGGAGTTAAATCTTAAAAATGAATTCAAGTACTTTAACTATTAACAATACTGGATTGTATGTATGTATCACCTGTAGATCCTCAAATCATCCCTGAATTCGTGCTGGCACTGTCCTTCCTTCTGGAGGGTGGCTACTTTTGTTCTCCATAGCCCCTGTGTGTAAAGTAGCCACTGCTCCAAACTCCCTCCCGTGAGGGACTACAATCTCAATACAAATTAGTAAACTAAACGTGAGATTGTAGTCCATCATGGGAGTAATCTTGGAGTGCTGGCTACTTTCCAACACTGAGCAAGTATTGCGATAGCATCAGCAACTCAGAAAGAAGTTTGACTAGCAGGCTGTATATCTATCCAGAAAGAGGCTTGGCTGTCAGGCTGTTTGTCTGTCCAGAAAGAGGCCTGGTTATCAGGCTGTATATCTATCCAGAAAGAGGTTTGGATATCAGGCTGTATATATCCATAAGGATATCAGGAAGTGATGCTATCTAGAATGAGGCTTGGCATCATGCGTCACTTATTTCAGAACGAGGCTTGGTCTAGACACGGCACTCTCTGTGGTTGGCTGTTACACATTGCAACAAACTAGTTTGCTATAAGGAACTACAAACCCCGGCATTCCTTGCGGCGCTTATGTCACCGTCCCCTATACCTGAGCCGACTGATATCGAGGCTTGGAACGCGCGTCTCTCCACCACCATTGTTGCTGTACTTCCGGCCAGATCCTATTTTCTGCTTATAAAAGAGGTATATTGCGGCTCTCGGTATGGTTTGATGCATTAATATGTCATGTTGTTGTGTCTGTTGCAATGCTCCAGGGTTGTAACTATGTGCGTTAGAGCTCGGCAGGCCATCCAGGCGCGATACTATGCAGAGACCCTGGAGCTGATCTGTCAGTGCAGGCAGCTTATGGATGGCTTGGTGTGGTGTGAGTACAGGATCGCCTGCTGTGCCACATAGTCATCTGGTGTCACTAATGAAGTGATACGGAGCCCTGTAGTATGTTGTTTACCCTGATCGCCCTGTGTGTGTGAGAGACTGTACTGACTGCTGTTATTTACAATGACAGTGTTAGCTGGAGGTGCTGGTTGTAATGGTCTAAATATGGACATATAATCTGACTGTACATTCTCCATTGTATTTACCAAAACTGTGTAATAGAAGGATACACCTATACAGTCCATTCAGTTCATGTCCAGTCAGACCTGCCCTTGTATTCCATAGTTGTTGGTAGATCTAAGGGTCACCACACACGTTACAATCTGACCATACAATTTTTGTACAATCATTCTTAAACTTATCAAATCTATGTAATCAGAGAACCGAAGGCTGGCCATACACCTATCAATTATTTTTGTTCAACCTGCGGGCTCAACAAGAAAAATTTACGCAATTCCAACATCAACACAAATAGCGTGCCGATCGAGGAAACCCGCTGTTTGCATTGTACTCTGACAGATGCCGCTGACAATTGTCAGCATACCCAGCCAGAGCCGGCAGCTCTTTGGGTTTCGGCTCTGATCGTACAAAGATTTTCCAGCCGACTCCTTCGATCAGCTGTTCACATAATGCCGGCTGAACGGGAGCCGACAGTCCCACACGCTTGTGTGAATTTTGGTCGGTACATTAAAAACTGGCCAAAACTTGGCCAGTGTATGGGCACCTTTTACTAATCCATCCAATCAATCTGCATCCAACCAGGTAAGTCCTTGCACTACATACTTATTGATCTACAGGAGATTGTACAATCAGATTGTAAGGTGTGTGGTGAGCTTAAAGCTGGCCATACACCTATAGATTTTCTGCAGATTTTCTATGGTCAGAAGGAAAAAGTGCAACAGATTCCTCCATGTACGCTAAACTGTGTGGATGGAGGAAACTCCCACTGGGCAAAGCTTCAGTATCTTGCTAGTCGGCCACACTGGCTCTCAAAATACCTGAACAATGCCTGCATCCAATCAGAGTGTTTCAGGTATTTTGAGAGCCAGTGGGGCCGACTAGCAAGATACTGAAGCTCGGCCCAGTGGGAGATTCCTCCATCCACACAGTTTAGCGTAGATGGAGGAATCTGTTGCACTTTTTCCATCTGACCATAGAAAATCTGCAGAAAATCTATAGGTGTATGGCCAGCTTAAGGATCATCATACGCGTTACAATCTCTGTACAATCAACTTTAGATTTACCAAATTTACGTAATATGTGAACCTACGTAATCTATCCATTCAGGCAGGCCCTTGCACTGCATTGTTGTTGGTAGATCTAAAGGAGATTGTACAAAGTATGGGCGGCTTTCCATTGAAATACTGTCTGGAAGAAATCTCTGAATGTCCATTCTGTGACGTTTTCTCCTGCAATACTGATCACTGTTGGAATGACGCTCTGAGATTTTGGGGCTGCAATCACACCTGACCGTGAGCATTTAGAGGTCATTTTGGAGCGTTTTTATTTGTTTTTCGGGCTTGAGCTTTTTTGTTTAACTGATGGAAAGGTAATTACTGGGAGAAGATGTTTGTTTAGCCCTGAAAAACTCTCGTTTTCAAGTGCTACCACGGGGCCCAAAAATGCCCCAATGTATGTCAAATGAGCATCAGGTGTCTGAGCTTTAATATGTGAACAGACAGTGTGAGGGTACAATCATGTCTGATTCTGGACGAAACGCACTGCATTGCGGCCGACTCACTTTTTTGTGGAGCAGGAGGGGGCGTGGCAGGCCATTGAAGTGAATGGCACCGTAGCCGCAATGCGATCGCGCGCACGGGATCGCAAGGCACATTGTGCCTGCGATGCGATCAAAATGCGGCAAGCACTATTTTGATCACACCGCACCCTGCCCCGCAAAAAAATTAGCTGGCCAAATTACCCGAATCGGACCTGAACGCACTGCATCTGGTGTGAAAGTACCCTATAAGTATGAGATTTGTATTGTTAAGGTGCCCATACTCCGACCCATGTTCTGACGGTTTTTAATGTACCGGACGAAATTCGCACAGTGTGTGGGGTTTGTCGGCTCCCTTTCAGCCGCCATTCCTCGATCAGCTGATCCAAGGAACCGGCTGGAAAATCTCTGTGTGATCAGAGCCAGCAGCCAACAAGCCACTGTGTGTCCAGTAAATTGCCAGATAAATTGCTGTATATATATATACAGATATTAGATAGATATACAGATATATCTGTCTAATATGTGATTGGGTTTAGTGACACGCTAAGCTTACATTAATTTTAAAATCTGACCAAAATTCATGAATGGTTTGCTATATTTAAAGTGACGCTAAACTTAGGAGTTACATCTTGAAATTGCATTTAAGTACCTTAACTATTAACAAATTAGTAAACTACCGTATATACTCGAGTATAAGCCGAGATTTTCAGCCCATTTTTTTGGCTGAAAAGTGCCCCCCTCGGCTTATATATGAAATTGTTGTCGATCACGGGAGTGATCTTGGAGCAGTGACTACTTTACAACACACACAGGGACCATGGGGAACAAAAGTAGCCACCCTCCAGAAGGAAGGACTGTGTCAGCACCAATTCAGAGATGATTTGAGGATCTACAGCTGAGTGATATACAAATAGGATACATTTTTGTTAGTAGTTAAGGCGCTTGAATGTATTTTAGGATTTAACTCCTGAGTTTAGGTCACTTCAAATATACAAATTTACAAGGATTATTCATTCCTGTCCAATATTTTCAGGGCTTGAAAAAGTTTAGGGTGTCTCACCAGTCAGTCAAAAGTGTCACCAGTTGGCATGACCAGACTATCGGCCTTGCAATTTATGTTAACATTTAACATTTTTTAGGGACACAGGGCTTTATTTTGGTGGTATATAATCACCACTGGGGGGGGGGGGGGGGTT